ACGAAGGTATCATCTGGCTGTACCAGCGCCCACAAAGTCCCAAAGCAGAGAGCTGACCAGAGGCCAGGCTTCAGGGGCCCCTCCCTCCCTCCCGGCCGGCCCGGGGTGTAAGGGTTCCTCAAATGCCCCTACCCAGCTCCCAGGACTCAGACCTGCTCCGAGCCCTTCGCCTGTCTCAAGGAACAGCTGTGCAGTGAGAGGGTTTGGAAAATCACTACGGGCTCCGGTAACTTCTTGCTCAAATCCCATGCTTCGTCCTCAGTTCACCTTATTTAACTTTTCAAACTCTGTCTTCAAGATTTTGGACTTTGGAATGAAAAACAAACAAACAAAACACTAAGGTGTTGAAAACAATACCCAGAAAGGTACCAAGGGCCTACAATTGCTCAGATACTGCAGTAGCGGCGTTCGCCGGCAGGGGCGGCAGCTGGTCCCCCGAGCGCGGATTGGCTCCGCTTGGAGATGGGAAGAGGAATCTCTGCTCCTGCTTTGCAATGCTTGGCAGGGTCGGGGCTTCTGCAGAATCGGGCCGTCCCAGCACTCCAAAGCAAGAAGCTGGTGGAAGCCTGAGCAGGATGAAGTTACCGAGAGTGATGCAGCTGTGAAGGCAGCCTGAAATGCGGCCAGGCAGGGCCCACAGGATGCCCCGAGGTGGCCAGGGAGGCTGACTGAAGGTGCCCGGCCCAGAGGCGCCGCTTTCCCTGTGTCCTGTTCTGGACAGCTCTGGGACTAGCAGGCAGTGTTGGTGCCGGGTGCTGCAGCAACCACCGTGGAAGGTGAAACTTCCTGGTCTGGAGAGCGAGCTGCTGCGACGTCGGCCCCTTCACGGCCCATCACCACAGGGTTACGGGGGTAGCGTCCACGTTCAGTCCCAAGTCGGGCCCACGTCCCAAGCTGGCCCCAAGTCATCTCAGCCTAGCCGAGCCTCATTTTGTGGCTTCACTCTGCCTACCTCATAGAACATGATCCACTCTGGAGGAAGCAGGCCATAGAATTAGAAAAGACAGGTTTAGTGGTGCAAGCTTGCCCCGCAGGTACGACTCCCAGGTTCCAGCCCATTACTAACAGGGAAAAAACTTAGATATCATCATCGCCACAGAGATGGCTCAGGGGATGAGAGCACATACTGCTCCACCGGAAGACCGGAGTTTGGATCCCAGCACTTATGTTAGGCAGCCCACAACTGCCTGTAGCTCCAGTCCCGGGGGCCCCATTGCCTTCTGGACTGGGCGGCACCTGCCCTCATGCACATACCCACACAAGGACACTCATAGACACCTAACTTAAAAATAAAAATAAACCTTATGTAATAGGTGGAGCTATTAGCACCATAAGAATCCCCAAACCAGCCAGGTGGTGGTGGCTGACGCCTTTGATCCTAGAGCTCAAGAGGCAGAGGCAGGCAGATCTCTGAGTTCAAGGTCAGCCTACTCACAGAGCAAGTTCTAGGACAGCCAAGGCTGGGCAGAGACCCCTGTCTCACAAACAAACAAACAGAATCAGAAACCTCAAAGCAGCATGCAAAGATGATGTGGTCGGGCATCTCATAGGTTTGGTACCGGTAATGTGCTGGTGCTTTTATGCCAGCTTGACTAAGCTGGAATCATCTGAGAAGACGGAGCCTCAGCTGAAGAAACCCTAAGATCGGGCTGCAAGGAAGCCTACAGGGCATTTCTTAATCAGTGATTGATTCGGGAGGACTCAGCCCATTGGGGGTGGGGCCATCCCTGGACTGGTGGTTCTGGGTTCTGTAAGAAAGCAGCCTGAGCAAGTCATGTGGAGCAAGCCAGTCAGCAGCACCCCTCCATGGCCTCTGCATCAGCTCCTGCCTGCAGGTTCCTGCCCTGCTTGAGTTCCTGTCCTGACTTCTTCAGTGATGAATAGTGTGTTTCGAAGTGTAAGCCAAGTATAAACCCTTTCTTTCCCAAGTTGCTTTGGTCATGCTAAATACCAATGCAATAGTAACCACCGACTAAGATGGGTGCTATCCAGGGCCTGGAGAATGGCTCAGTGTTTAAGAGCACTGGATGCTCTTCCAGAAGGCCTGGGTGTGATTCTCAGCACTCACCTGGAAGTTTACGGACATCTATAAGTCTGGTTCCAGGAGACGAAATTCCCACCTCCAGCCTCCAATCAAGTAAAGAACTGTCTTTTGTTCCTGGAAAAGATGACTCAATGCAGTAAATGTGTCAGCACCCCCTCCACACACACACACACACACACACACACACACACACACACACACTTACACTTCATATGAAAAGTGTAAGTTTAATAAAAAGAGTGAAATAGTTTTTTTTCCTAGATTGCAAATTGTCACTAAATTGACCATAGATGAATAAACAGGTAATAACAGCCAGGAATCTGAAAAAAGAAAACTATCAGATAAATCCAAACTACTAAGATATCAGATAAATGCCAACTACTAAGACATACCGTAAAGGATTTCTAATTTAAACAGTACGGTCCTGAGCCATGAAATGACAGAAAGACAGGAAACAGAAAGTCCAGAGAGAGATAGCCAGGTAATCCCAGGTAGCCAGGGAAATCACCGTGCTTACTTGGTGCTGAGGCAGAGGCAGGCATCTGTAAGTTTGAGGCTAGCCTGGTCTATATAACAAGTTACAGGCCAGCAGAGCTACATAGTGAGACCTTGTCTCAAACAACCAAGTTAAATGGAGAAAGTGTGAACATAAGGAATGATGTGGCATGTCTGTAATCCCAACAGTTGGGAGGCTGAGACAGGAGTTTGTGAGTTTGACGCCAGCCTGAGCTACATAGCAAAACTGTAAATAGTTAGATGGCTAGACCGACGACAGACAGACAGATTCATGCAGTGAAGCATTGGACAGCTGGACTATTTAGGACCCAAAATGCTACACACGGGGTTGGACTGCTGGCTCTTCCGTTAAGAGCTCTTGCAGCTTTTGCAGAGGCCCTAGCACCATGCTGGGTGTTCACACCTGCCTGTAGCTGCAGCTCCTGGGGCTCCAATGGCCTCTTTTGCCCTTTGAGAGTGCAGAACACACATGCTGCATATACAAACAGGCACACAAATAAAAGCAAATAATTTTTAAATTTAAAAGCTATCCATTTAAAAATAAACTAAAATACCATATAAAAGGGAAGAAAGTGGAGAGAGCAGGACTTAAACCCTAATAAGTAAAATGTACCTCCAGTTTCCTTCTGAATCCAGTTTTTAATCCTTTGTTTGCTGCCTTGAGACAGAGTCTTTCTGCATATCTCTGGATCTCCTGAAACTCACTCTGTAGCCCAGGCTGGCCTCAAAGTCACAGATCCACCTGCCTCTGCCTCTGGAGTGCTGGGTTAAGGGTGTGTGCCACCACAGATGGCTGTTTTTAAGTTCTTTTACCTCTGAGACTAAGAACCTGCAAAAGGACCCTGTGTTCCCTGGAAAACTATGGTATTGAGTGGTGACATCAACATGAACTGTGGCTTTAGATAGAGGACGGATAGAATTCTACATGTGTGTATTTATATGTGTGTATATTCATGTGTGTATATTCATATGATTGTGTTCATGTGTATATTCATGTATGTGCACATGAATTTACATACATATGGTTCTGTCTATCTAGATCTATCACCTTGAAGCAGGAAAGGAAAGGAGGGGAAACTGGGCTGAGTAAGAAGAGAAAAGGAGACCTTAGCCTGGCAGTGGAGGGGCACACCGTTAATCGGAGCATTTGGGAAGCCAGGGCTGTCCTGTCTCAAACAAACAAACAAACAAACAAACAAAAGTGACCCCTCACTTAGAATCCTACTGAGCATAGAAGAAGGGTTTTAGCACAATTAGGAGCTGCTGTTCCCTCACTACCAACTTTCCATCCTGCAGTTTTCTGAGAATCTCACCAGAAGCTCCATTCTCAGGAACACACATATAGTAAGGCTGTTGTATAACCCTAGTGGCTTCTAGTGCTAGTTTATCAGAATGTACATTCATCCAGAGCCTCTCAAGGTAAGTCTGTAATCTCAGCTATCAGAGAAGGAAACAGAGGTAGAAGAGTGGGGTCCCCAGGTGTCCACTGAGCCATGAAATTCCAAAAAGCCTTCAGAATCTTGTGATGGTCACTGCCAGGACCCTTGAAAGGACCTCCATTCACACTCTTGGCTGTGTCTTTCTCTTTACCCTCATGCTCAAGCCTATATTGAAATATATTTTTTTATGAAGTGGAGGGCATATGCACGTGTGAGTGCAAGTGCCTGGGACAGCCAGAAGAGGGCGCCAGATCCCCTGGATCAGGAGTTACACGTGGTTGTGAGCCACCTGATGTTCGCCCTGGGAGCAGAACTCAGGCCTTCTGCAGACTGAGCCAGCTCTCCAGTCTCTGAAATATCTTTAATAAAACGTCTAACTCTGATTTCTTCTATTAGCAGTCCAGGGATTCCTTTCAGTGTTGAAGCCATGAATCCCAGTTTGGCCTGAGTAAAGGTTCTTAAAAGGCTGAGACAATGGTTCTCAACCTTCCTACTGCCATGACCCTTTAATACAGTTTAATAGAGTTCCTCATGGCTGTGGTGACCCACAACCATAAAATCATTTTCCTTGCTACTTCATGACTGTGATTTTGCTACCGTTATGAATCACATTGTAAATATTTTTGGAGAGAGGGGTTTGCCAGGGGGCCGTGACCCATAGGCTGAGAACCGCTGGTCTAAGCGACCTCAGGCTGTCGAGGGTGGCAGAGCGAGCTGTGTCTCTGTCAGTTCAACACAGACAAGTTAGAAGTACCTGGAAGTTATTTAAACCATATTTATTTAGTCTGTCCGAGATTCTGTGCTGCACAAAACCCCACCTGAGGCTGGGGCTGGAAGCCGCCATGCTCTTTCAGCTGACTGTGCCAATTCTGAACTGTTTCTGAGGCTCCAGTGATAGCATAACGTGAAAAGGGAATAAAAAATCACGCGAGACCTAAAGTCCTGGTGGGTTTGTTCCTGTCCTCCCACTTTGTTCTCCAAGGATTAA